CCAGGATCGTCTTTAGGAAATTGCAGAGCTCTTTTAATGATCCCAAGGTTCCTGTGAAATGAAATGCCCATCTTTTTGGTAGCAACACTATATCCATGTGCTCTATGACAGTGAAGCATGGAGGTACAGTTGAATCCTTTGCAGCTGATGGTATCACCAAACCAGGAGAAGAGGAGAGGGCCCAGGACGGACCCTTGGGAGATACCCATAGTTAAGAAGTGTGATGTAGATGAAGATACAACAAAGGAGGCTGAGATGGAGCAGTCAGATAGGTAGGGGAGAACCAAGAGAGTAGCTAGGAGGAGAGGGTGTTAGTGTCAAAGGCTGCAAAGAGGTCAAGAAGAATAAAGATTGAAAAAAAGGCCTTTAGACTTGGCGATTAAGGGATTGTAAGGTAACATTGTAGAGAGCAGTTTCAGTTGAGGTTAAAAGCTAGATTGCAGAAAGATTAGAAATGAGTGAGAGGAAATGTAGTGGCCAATAGTATAGATAGATAGCTTTGTCAAAGAGTTTAACTGAGAAGAGAAGAGATATGGGATGTTAGCTAGTGGGGATGGTTAGATTGAATGAAAGTTTTTTTAATGTTTGTGAAGACATGGACGTATTTGTTGGCCATAGAGAAACAGCCAGTAGATAGGGAGACATTGAAAGTTAGAGAGTGTGAGGATGATAGTAGGGGCAATCTCTGGAGATGGGAGGGGATAGAATTAAGGGTGCATGGAGAGGGGTTTGTCTTAACCAGGAGAAATGTCACCTCTTTATGTGAGACAGGAGTGAAAAAGGAGATAGAGAAGAGTGTTTTCTGACTGACTGATGTGAGGAGAAGGGGGGGAGGGTGAACTTTTTAGAAATGTTCATAATTTTTTTCAGTGAAGTATGAATCTATGTCCATAGCTCAGAGTTTGAGAGAGGTGGTGGGCATGGGAGGCTAAAGGGATGAAAAGGTTTGGAATAGCTGTTATGGTGAGTGGGATAAAAAATTGATCACGGAAGTGTACAATGATTTTCTTGCTGCAGTGAGGGCCCAGTTGATATTAGATGACATACATTTGAGGTGGTTCCAGTCAGCATGGTTTTATTATTTTATCTAGCTCTATATGTTTTCTGCATCTGCCCTTTTATAAATATGCTCAACGAGTATCATTTTAAAATGTTTTTATGTTTCTAATAGGAAAGGGGGACTGGATGAAAGCCAAGTTTTAGGACATTTTGTTTAAGTACAAATAGCTAAATATGCAATAAAGGGATCTTGTAGCTATGTAAATTGGCATAGTTTAAAGAGTGGCACTTGAGAAATTGGTACTACTTTCATAAATGGAAGAGGCCCACTCCTTGAGGATAGGGGTTGTTTCATTTTTATTTTTTTTAGCCTTAGTAACCAACATATACTAAGCATTTAATAAACATTTGTTGAATTGAATTATCTATATTTATTTGAGTGGCTAATTTTTTCTTTTTAGAAGTAAAGCATACCTCATTTTGTTGCTCTTTGCTTTATTGTGCTTTGAGATACTGTGGGTTTTTTGTTTGTTTGTTTGTTTTGTTTTGCCAAATTTAAGGTAACCCTGTACTGAGCAAATCTATCGGTGCCTTCTTCCCAACAGCACATGATCACATTGTGTCTCTGGGTCACATATTGGTAATTCTTGGAGTATTTCAGACTTTTTCATTATTGTTATACCCATTATGGTGGATCTGTGACCCGTGATCTTTGATGTTACTGTTGTAATTGTTTTGGGGCACCATGAACTACATCCATGTTAGACGGTGAACTTAATAAATGTTTGTGTGTTCAGACTGCTCCAACAACCAGCCATTTCAGGCTCTCTCCCTGTCCTTGGGCCTTCCTATTCCCTAAGACACAACAACATTGAAGAATATTATATCAACTTAGTTGATAAAGCAGTGGTAGGGTTTGAGAGGATTGACTCTAGTTAGTTCTGTGGCAGGTAAAATGTTACTAAGCAGCATTGAATGCTACAGAGAAATCTTTTGTGAAAGGAAGAGTCAAATGATGTGGCAGACTTCATTGTTTTATTTTAAGAAATTACCATAGCCACTCCAGCCTTCAGCAACCACCACCCTGATTAGTCATCAGCCATCAACATCAAGGCAAGACCTCCATCAGCAAAAAGATTACAACTTACTGAAGTCTCAGATGATGGTTAGCATTTTTTTTTTTTTAGCAACAAAGTATTTTTTTAGGAGATTAGCCTAAGATGCTCTTTATTAAGAGGTGTGTATATATATATATACACACACACACACACACACACACACACACACGTATATAAACATATATATACACACACATACGTATATGCATATGTGATCAGAAGATCAACAGAACATTTGCTAAAATTTTAGTTAGTATTTATATGCAGTGTTGCCTATCTTTTTGCTTTGGTCACACATGAACACACAATCCTTTATTCCTGAAAATTAAGTCAGTATAAATGTGGGGCCATATTAGTTTAGCTAGCTGCTGGATCAAACTAATATTCAACATTATTAAATATGAGAACCGTCTTAATATCAAAATTTTCAGCACTCTACCTCAAACTGCTGTCTTCTGGCTTAAAATACTATTTGTGAATAGGAAAGAAAATTCTGTTACTAAATATTTCTTTTTCCTCTTATAGTATTCATGAGAAAAATATTGAATGGCCTAACCTGTCAATAATGAAGACAGTTTAGGGGGAACCCGCAAGTGGATACCGAAAATTCTGGAAAATTGGGTTAGGCCGTGTATGGTGTGGCAGCAGAATTCATTGTGGTAATAAATATACTTGCATACTGTAATCAAGTCTTCATGTAAGCCATACTTGTAGTGGTTTTTCTTTTTTAATTTTTTTGTCTATATTCCATTCCAAAAAGAGAATGATGCTTGAGGTCCAGCACCTTGATGATGTTCTGCTTTAGTAATAAGAAGTGTGATTCTTGTGGATGAAAACCTGATTAAGAAAAAATATATGTATATATTTGTATTTATATATATATATATATTTGTATTTATATATATATATATATATATATAAAATTTGATTAAATCATAGAACACACTAAGATTCCTCTCTACAGAAGTAACTGAAGGGGGGGATAGACAATGAAAGTATATACTTAAATACACATAAAGGGATAAGCTGGTCAACAGTTTTTTTTCATACAAGGTAAGAAGAAGATGAATAGAATTGGAAGTTCCAACCTTATTTGCTATGTTGTAACTCCTGTCACCATTGGGCTGCAGTTGGACAACCTTTCTGCATCACTACTATCAATATCTTCGTTGTCATCCTCCTCCTCGTAGTCTGAAGATTCTGTCATGTTCTGATGGGAATGAGATTCTGATAAAGTCCCAAATGACTGGGCACTGGGCACTGGGCACTAACAGAAGCTGATGTTCTAAGGGGTATGTTCTGAGACTTTATTCTCTCCTTGACTGCTCTCCGTGTCAGAGTTTTAATCTCCTTAAGAAGGGACAACTTTCTGTTTACATACTGGACAGGTTTTTTTGGTTTTAGTTAATCAATGATATGAATGGGAACAAGGAAGGATTCTGAGTTGGTCTCTATCTTCGTGTTCATCCAGACAAATGGCACATATGTCATACTCAACTCCTTTCTTGAGTTTATGTATAGGGAGTTTCTTAAGTTTATCTTTATGAAGTCTATTCCTTCTAGCTCTATGTTTAGCCTTAGTAACCAGCACAAATTTTCTGATCATGAAGGTGACAATCAAGATGAGACATATGCCCACTGTGATGAGGAATGGGATTAGGTAGTATTCTAGAGGAGGGCTAAACTCCAGAACCAAAACAATATGGCCACTTTTTTCATATGTGAATTCATCTTTAAGTGAATTAACGGATGCCTCACCAATAAAGACAGAAGGAATGTCGATCTTCTTTAAAATACTAATGTCGTTGGATCCCATGCTAATTAGGTCATCAGAATCAACATTGTGTAATATGGCTGCTTTGTGTCCTGCTTTCTATGCATGTAAAACCTTAATATCAAAATTACCGTCAAGTCTTCTAATTAACACAATGAAGGCACTGGAGGAGTTGTCTTTCAGTGGTGGAGGTGCTATGGGTTCCTAGGCATTCTCTGGTTGTGAGTTTATCAGAAATCCCTTTAAACCTTTGGTTGGAAGTCTATAACCAAATCTTGCTGGAAAGTCATCAAATGTCTGTGATAACATTTTTTTTATTTTATTTGTTTGTTTGTTTGTTTGTTTGTTTTAGTGAGGCAATACTGGTTAAGTGACTTTGCCCCAGGTCACACAGCTAGTACAGGTCAAGTGTTTGGTCTGAGGCCGGATTTGAACTCAGGTCCTCTTGACTTCAGGGCCAGTGCTCTATCCACTGCGCCACCTAGCTGCCCCCTGTGATAACATTTTCAAAATTATATGCTAAAATGTCTGCCTCTACAGGTAATAGGTTAAAGAATGTAAACAGCTGGACAGTCAAAATAGTATATGTCTGTGTGGCTGACAAGGTTAACATGCCTATGGATAACAGCATCTTAATTACCTAAGGGGGGAGGGGTCGGGGTGTGTGTGTGGGGTGGGGGGGTTGGACCCTCCTTGCTAAGAGCGAATTCATCCTTCCTCAGTGGTGTCAGGAGATCAGGCAGAGAAGCCAGAGAAGAGGGAGAAGCCACAGAAGAGACGACAACATGGTGGGGGCAACAAAAGGATTTTTTAATTAAGATATGTCTTTGTAATTAAGATTGTTTTTGTAGTCATCATGCTGTTGCACACCTAATAGACTACAGTATAATGTAAACATAACTTTTATATGCACTGGGAAACCAAAAATTTATATGACTTACTTTATTGTGATATTTGCTTTATTGTGGTGGTCCTGAACTGAGCCCACAATATTTCTGAGGTATGCCTGTGCTCAAACTGCCTGGAACTGTACTGTTGGAATAATGATAGTAGAAATATTGCAATGATATCTAACATCTTTTCCTTTTTTTTCTCCTCTTTCATCCTAGTCCATTGATGACTTAAATAAGTGGGCTCTACTTCTTGTTTCTCCTTTTATTTATCCTGGTGATGTTCTTGAAGCAGAACACATAGCGTTTGTGATAGAAAGCATTTTGTTACGAAGTCAGAATTTACCAACACCATTTTTTCCTTCAGATACGGTGAGTGACAATTTTCTTATGTGTCTTGCTGAAGATTTGAGCTAATTAAATACTCGGAGAATAGTAGTAGTTTTAAGTATATCACTTAATATTCTACTGTAGTGCTATGTATTCCAGTAACATGATGGAAAATTAAATTTAACAAGGCAGATTTCTTTTGGAATTATTATATAGCCCACATCAACTTGGGCTACCCATTACCGGGCTTGTACCATTTTAATGTCCTTTGTAATTACTGCTTCTTTATAAAATTGCTTCTACTTCATTGTACCTTTCAAACAGCATTGCTTCCGCCTCCTTGTATTAAAGGAAACCTGGCTTTCCCCTGAGGCTACCACCTCTTTTCCATTTCTCTTCAGTTGTAATCACTCTAGATTCACAGATTCTTGAGGAAGGGAGAGAATGCTTTTTTATTCCCCACTGCTGCCTTTAGATTGTTTAGCTGCTGTTATCCCTCTCTGGCTTTTTCTCTTCAAAGGTTTTTGTAATTTACTTGTCCACTCTTCACATTCTTATTGCTATCACCTACTGACTTCCAGGTCATTCTTCTGGATTTTTCAGTGACTTTATTGTAAGCTTCCTATCACTAAACCTTCTGTACCTTTGGTCAAGTTGCTCAGAATTCCCTGTACTTGGAATGCCTTGTCTCTTGTTCTTCACCTGTGGATTCCTTTTACTCATTCTTTGTTTTTGTTTTTGTTTTTGTTCTTGGCAAGGCAATTGGGGTTAAGTGACATGCTGAGGGTCACACAGCTAGTGAGTATCATGTGTCTGAGGCTGGATTTGAACTCAGGTCCTCCTGACTCTCGTGCCAGTGTTCTATCCACTGCACCATCTAGCTGCCCCTTACTCATTCTTTAAATACTAACTTAAATGTCACCTTGTCTAGAAAACTTTTTCTGATCCCCTTAAGCTTGCACTGTTTTGTAACTCTGAAATGCACTCGTTTTTTAAAAATAGCTTTTTCTTTTTTTTTAATGATACTGTAATTTTACTTAACTCTCTGCCACTTGATGTAGAAAAAATGCCCCACATTTAGATATAGCCAAATGACATAGCCAGATCCTATGCCCACAGTTTTTGCCTCTTTTCTTAAGAGGAGGAAAGTTTGTTTCCTTATCAGTTCCAGTACTAAGACTGTTCATTACAATTCATCACAGTATGACTGACTACTACTACTATTACTGCTACTGCTACTACTACTACTTACATTATTGTAGTTGTTGAAACCATTGATCTTTTGATTCTGCTTGCTTTACTCTGCATCAATTCCCAGAAGTTCTTCCATGTTTTGCTGAAATCCTCCATGATATTCATCGTTTCTTGTTTTGCCTCACTTACATATGCCGTAGGTGAGGCATCTCCCAATTAATGGGCATCCCTTTTGTTTCCAGGTATTTGCTACCACAAAGAGAAATTCTATGAATATTTTGTTATTTACAAGATGTTTCATTTTTGTCATTGACCTCCTTCTAGTATATGTGTAGTAATGGGATTGATGAATCTAAGGATACAAAGTAGTCCAATGACTTCATATAAGTTATCAATTGATTTCTAAAGTGGTCTAATTCACAGCTCCATCAGTAGTGTGTTAATGTACTTGTCTTTTTGCAATCTCTCTACCATTGGCTCATTTTCATCATTTTTAATGCACTAATGGGATATAGTACTATTATATAATTATGTCTATCTATTTGAGCATCTTATTCCTCACACTCTGGGTGCAGAGACATTGTATATTGACTCTGTATCTTTTCCAGTGCTTATCACAGGACCCTGCACATAGTATATGCTTATAAATGTTTGTTATATTGTGCATCTAAAAACAAACTATTACCTTTTTTTTTTTTTTTGCTTCCAACTGGGTTCATTTTATTATGAAGAAAATTCCACAAGTTTCCATTATGACTTTTCAAATTACCAAGCTTAAACTATTTTTCCCAAACTACCCCATAGAAGCAAGAAAAGTTGTACAAGTGGTTCTTTGTAATGCTGCTTTAAAATGTTTTGTCAAAACCACAAATGATCTTATTGGAGCATACCAGAGGTATTTAAATACTCCAAGATGTCTTTTAACCATATGCTTTGCAAATAATTCTTGTGCACAAATTCTCATTGTGGTTAATTTCCAACTTTGTGCTTTCTTCTGTAGACAGACTCGCAGTCACCCACCCATAATTATGGAGAACTAGCATTTTATTTAACATTTTCTTGTGAAAACACCAAAGAAATTCATCCGCTAACCAACAGTGGTTATGTTACAGACCTTTCTCCTCAGAGGTTTTCTTAATGCTTAAAGTGAGCTGTTCATCTTTTCCCCTTGCCTTATGGAAATTTATAATACATGAGGAACACAATCTGCAATCTAATTAGATCTTTCTCCCTTTATGAAACATATGCAGCAGAAATATACATACGTAAAGATACTTTACACTCACAAAAGTGACCCACCAATTCAAAATTCATCGAGCAGTTTTTGAGAACCAACCACTAATTGAGCGGATATAAGCCAGTCTCCCTCTATAAACTACTTGAAAGAAATGAGACCTGAGTTTTAGATCAACACTTTGCAGAACCATTTTCCCACTAATTTTGCTTAGTGCAATAAACTTCCCATTTACTCTAAATTCCCATTTTCCGAACCCAAACAGGACCTTGTGTTCCTTAAATGCCATTATAAACTCCATGATTTTCACCACTCAGTATTTGTTTCCATGAAAAACCAGAAGCTCCTACTTCTTTAGTTTTTTACAATTTTTTGACACGTGCTGGACAGAAAAAACCTATCCAACCACAGGTTTAAGATTTTTTCACCAATTTTTCTACTGTAGTTCCTTATCATGTGCAGCACTCAATATCCCCACTGGGAGTAGCCCTGACAAAGTGAATTTCAGAGCTCTAACTGTTTAAGTGACAGAGCTATACCCAATGCTTAGCGAAAGTTTGACTTTTCAGAGCATCTTGTCCTAGTAGTGGCACTTGTCCAGAGCTGGTACAGTTCCTTAAGATTTGTTGTTTTTCATTTGTTCAGTCATGTCCAACTTTTCGTGACCCCATGAACCAGAGCATGCCAATACTGTCCATAGGGCTTTCTTGCCAAAGATATTGGAGTGGTTTGCCATTTCCTTTTCCAGTGGATAAAGGCACACAGACGTTAAGTGACTTGTGTAGGGTCACATAGTAAGTGCCTGAGCCTGGGTTTGAACTCAGGTCTTCCTGACTGCAGGCCCAGTGCTCTACCCATTGAGCCGTCTAGCTACCTGCCCCTCAAGATTATGGAACTCTAAAAGTACCAGTGATGAGAACTATCTTATGTTATCCCCTGTAAACAAAAGGAATGGAGACACATTTGCTCTCCAAACCAACACACATGGCAGTGAGGTCTATTCCCTACCTAATCCCATCTCTTCAGATTCTTTTTTTTCCCGTCCTTCCTTTTTTTTTTTTTCCCAGTTAAGCAGAAGGGATGAAAATTTACAAGAACCTGAGTTACAAGAACCAAGGATGGTGAGGCTGCAGAAGGAAGCAACCAGGACTAGCTGGGAGACTTCCCCTCCCTCCACACCCAATGTGCAGGATTTCACACACACACACACACACACACACACACACACACACACACACACACACAC